AAAAAAAGGAGGAGGATTGGCAATAGATGTTAGCTCAGAGCCGGTCTTTCTCAGCAAAAAGAGGAGGATTAGCATGGATGTTAGCTCAGGGCTGATCTTCCTCACAAAAAAAAAAAAAGAAAAGAAAAAAGAAATGCTAAGGAAACATTCTCTCTATTAGTTTTATTTTTTTATTTATTTTTTGTGTGTGTGAGGAAGATCAGCCCTGAGCTAACATCCATGCTAATCCTCCTCTTTTTGCTGAGGAAGACCAGCCCTGAGTTAATCTATTGCCAATCCTCCTCCTTTTTTTCCCCTTTTTCTCCCCAAAGCCCCAGTAGATAGTTGTATGTCATAGTTGCATACCCTTCTAGTTGCTGTATGTGGGACGACCCCCAGCATGGCCAGAGAAGTGGTGCGTCCGTGCGCTACCGGGATCCGAACCTGGGCCGCCAGTAGCGGAGCTCGTGCACTTAACCGCTAAGCAATGGGGCTGGCCCCTCTCTATTAGTTTTAAAATAACCTCTCACCAATAGACCTCTAGTTAAATGCTAGGGAGCACCTCCCTTGTTGCACCCACAGGCAGGGATCTCTGAATGATGTAAGCATCAGCACTTTGATCCTTGAATGATACCCCCACCTCCTGTGTTGACACACGTAACATTACGGAAGACAAACTCTAATAACCTGTTCCTGAACCTGATGCGAAGAAAATAGTAACCCATTTCCTTAGTGGTCACAAGAGAATTTATAATTATCGTTATTAAAATAATGGCAAGCAAAGTGATAATTCCGCTGCTTCTAAGAAATAAGCATTAAGCATTTACAACCTCTCAGGCACTACTATTAAATACCATACAACTTCAGAAGCTCGCTGGCACGTACACTTGACATATTCACTGTACTTATGTAGCCTATCAAAAACTACTTATACTTTCTCCGTGTAATGTTTCCTTGTGTTAAAGTCTAGCACTAAGGAAATAACGATCCAATTATTTCTAAAGTCAGATTATTATCAATATTCATCCTGGAAAGAAATAAACGGATCAAAAGCAACTAAATGTTACATAAAGAAAAATACTATGCAAAGATATATAAAAATACAACTTTACAAGTAACTTGTGAAAAGTGGATCTCACAACCAAAACTACAATGAGTAGTAGTTTTGGCTATAATTAACAAGACAGGAAACAACAAGTGTTGGAGAGGATGTAGAGAGAAGGGAACTCTCATAAACTACTGGTGCAGCCACTATGGAAAACAGTATGGAGATTCCTCAAAAAAATTAAGAATAGAACTACTATATGACCCAGCTATTCCACTACTGGGTATTTATCCAAAGAACATGATAACACAAATGCATAAAGACACATGCACCCTTATGTTCACTGCAGCATTATTCACAATAGCCAAGGCTTGGAAGCAACCTAGGTGCCGAATGGATAAAGGGAGGAATGGATAAAGCAGATG